AGACCACACTCTAGGTACTGGCTTCATTGTAAATAAAAAGGTTAAACACCTGTTAAAACTTTCGAGCGACCCCGTATACTACACTTTTAGTTAAGTACAACCCGACGTTCATTTTACACCCCTCGAGAGGGGATGCCGGTAGTGGCGAGGAGAAGAGAGTCAACACTCACCGAGTCTCAACACAACATCCTTACGCTAAGGACGTTATCTGACGTTATTCTTAAATTTATCGTTTACAAATATTTTAAATGTGCTATTTTTTACTTCAATACAGCTTAGTTTAAGTGATTTGTTTTTGTATCATTACTCTACGTGACATTCTAATAAGATTTAACTTACATCCTACACAACACCTCGTAAGAGACTTCCGTGCTATGAAGCTCTAGAATGTGCATCCATTATACTTTACATATTTAACTATAGCATGCCTCTACAGAGGAAAAGGAAGACGATGTCAAAGAAAAATTCTATGAAGAACTAGAAGCTGCATACCATTCATGTCCAAAGAATGACATCAAAATTATTTATGGTGATATCAACGCAAAAATAGGAAAAGAGCAACAAAACATACCAACTATAGGTAAAAGCACAGCCTTCATGAGGTATCCAATGACAATAGCATCAGACTAATAAATCCAGCAACTTTCCTTAACATGGGCATTGCCAGCACATGCTTCCAGCGAAAAAATATTCATAAGGGAACGTGAAGATCTCCAGATGGGATTACAGTAAACATTATCGATCGTGTTATTATTAACTCGAAACATCACTCAAAGGTAATAAACGTATGCAGCAGACGAGGAGCAAATGCAGACTTGTATCACTACCTAGTGAAAAGTAGAATAAGAGCCAGAATCTCAAACATTAAAAGAGAAAAGGGATCCAAAATTGAAAAATATCAAATAAAAAACTTAGCAGACAACAGCAAAAAGGCAAAATACAAAGATTATATAAAAGAAAGGCTAAAAAACAGACAAAAGCACGAGGATATAAACAGAGAATGGGAAGTGTGTAAAAACATCATACAAGACGCGGCCAAAGAGACCCTGGGTCTACAAAAAAAAGCTCACATCAACTGAAGGACAGTGGTTCGATGAAGAGTGTTGTAACATATCAGAGAGGAAAAATAATGCATATCAACGACTACAACAACGACATAGAACACAAAAGGCAGAGGAGGAATATAGGAGGAATATATCTAAGGAGAGAAATGATACCAAGAGAGAGAAATGAACTCCAAGAAATGAAAGAACTAAATAAACCGCCAAAAACCAGAAAATTCTACCAAAAACTTCACGAAAGTAGAAAGAATTTAAACCAAGAACAATGATGTGCAGAGACAAAGAAGTAGATATAGTAACTCAACAGAGTAAGATACTACAAAGATGGACAGAATTCTTCAAAGAAAAGTTTGAAAAAAACGAAGATCCACTATATGATGGAATTATACTGGATCAAACGGATACCAGAGAAACAACCCCCCCCCTAGACTGAAAAACAACAAGTCACCTGGATTAGACAACATTAGCGCAGAATTAATAAAGAAAGGTCGAGACTCCCTATTGAACGCGATACACGAACTAATAGTGAACATATGAAATAATAAACAACTGCCACAAGACTTTAATACCGGAGTTAATATGCCACTACATAAAAAGGGAGATCAGTTTTGTACATACTTATGAATAAAATTTTAATGACAAAACAAATACCCAACAGTTGGAACGAAGCAATAACACTGTTACTATTTAAGAAAGGAGATAAAAAGGATCTAAAGAATTACAGACCCATAACTTTATTAAATGTGATGTACAAACTATTAACCAAAATATTAACAAATAGATTAACTAACGAATATCATATCCCGCTAGACATGGCATTTATTGACTTTGAGAAGACATTTGATAGTGTGGAACACTGGGCAGTACAGAATTCCCTACAAAACAGCAGAATAGACTACCGACATACCGACTTAATTACAAATATATACAACAAGGCAACAACAACTATTAAGCTAATGAAACAAACGGAGTCTATTAAAATAAACCGAGGAGTAAGACAAGGAGATACCATCTCGCCCAAGTTATTTAACCAAGCGCTAGAAGATGTTTTTAAACGACTACACTGGGATGACTTGGGAATTAATATAAACGGGCAAAATCTGAATTATTTAGAAAAAAGTGAAGAATTACAAAGAATGATGGAAGAACTAGATAGAGAATCGACAAAAATTGGACTCAATATGAATTATAGTAAAACAAAAACCATGACTAATCAACCAGAAGAACTTATAATTACAGTGGCAGAAACAAAAATAGAACAAGTAAAAGAGTATATATATCTAGGCCAAATCACTAAATTAAATAAAGAAAATCAGACCGAAGAAATAAAGAGAAGAATAAGATTGGCCTGGGCATCATTCGGAAAACTGTCTTATATTCTAAAGAATTCAAAATACCCCCAATACTTAAAAACGAGAGTCTTCAATCAATGTATACTCCCTGTCCTCACATATGGCTCTCAGACATGGACGTTTACAAAGGAACATATGGAAAAAATAGCAAAGACAGAAAGATCCATGGAAAGACAAATGCTGAACATTAAACTATCAGACAAAAAAAGAAACGAATGGATCCGTAATAAAACAAAAGTGAAAGATGTCTCAACCCAAGTAGCAAAGCTTAAATGGAAGTTCACCGGACACACCCCAAGGCAGAAAGATGAAAGATGGACTAAAACAATTATACATTGGAGACCATGGAATCACAAACGTAAAAGGGGAAGGCCACAAATGCGATGGTCAGATGACCTGAAGAAACACGCCGGGTCAAAATGGATGCAAATTGCCAAGATAGAGAGACATGGAAGAAGGAGGAGGCCTATATCCAAGGATGGATGTTAAGGGCTGTATAGATAGATAGATTCTTAGACACATATATAAGGGGGTAAAGGAAAATGACATATGGCGCAGAAGATATAACTTTGACCTATACACAGCATACAATGAACCCGAGATCGTAACATCCATAAAGATCGGACGTCTGCGCTGGATGGGTCATGTTGATCGGATGTTGGAGACTGAAACACCAAAACATATAATGAGGCAAACACTAGTAGGGAGAAGGTCAAAGGGAATTCCCAAACTTAGATACCTACATGAAACAAGTGGAACAAGATCTGAAAACACTTATAATTAACAACTGGAAAAACAAAGCAAGGAACAAAACAGAATGGCGGTAAATCCTAGAACGAGCTAGGATCCAGGATCTAGTCTTCTAAACTTTTACATTCTAAAGTCCAGAATCTAAAAACAAGAAGCGAAGGAATGTGGATACCTTCGAGGCTAGTTAATATCCAGAAATTGATAAAAGGGAGGCAATAGTATATTACTTTATGAGGCGGAGAAGCATGACTTTTCTTGACGCGCCCGATATTACGCGCCGAACGAAGTGAGGCGCGAGGGCAAGTCAAGAAAAGTTACTTTTTTGCTGGATAAAGTATACTATTTTTTCTTCAAACGTAGCAATTTTCAACCATAAATAGTACAATTCATACGCTATTTTTATTCGAAATTAACTGTGACAAGTATCAAAGTCGTCTAGATGTTAGAAATTAAAATAATTAAGTCGTCGGTGGGATTTGCGTCTCCCTGGTTACAGTTGTTTGACAGTTGTTTGCAATTATTAAAGACAGCTTATTGTTGTTGCAACTGCAAGCGCAAATTTAGTGCGAAAATGGAAAACCTAAACGAAATTGAGTCCGCGGCTAATGATGCAGTAGCACGTTTGGGGCCCTCCAAGTCCGGAATAAAGTATCGGTTAGCGTACAAGCACTTCCAAGAGTGGTGCGATACAAGAGGAGTATGGAAAGTTACCGAAGACGTTTTACTGGCATATTTTAGGATATACTGCAAAGAAGTCTAAAGATTTCACTAAAGACGAGTTTGATAAATTTTTGTTTGAAGCGCCAGATAAGTTGTATTTAGGATTAAAGGAAAAAAATATTATATTGCAAAGCATGTAGTATACTCTACTAAATTATAAAAATATTTCAGATTGTTTTGTTAATTGGGGTTAAATGGTAAAAATGAACACTGTGGACATTGAGGATAAAGAAAATGTAATAATTATCAAAATCCCAGACAGTAAAACACGACAAATTAGATCTTTTACGATAATTGGTCAAAACTACATTAAACTGTATCAAAAGTATGCATCACTGCGGCCTGAAAATTTCACAGAAAGCCATTTTTTATCAAGTAACAAAATGGAAAGTGTTACCGAAGCGTCATGGGAATACATTCGATCAGCGCAGTAGCCCAAAAAGTAGCTAGTTATTTAAATTTAAACGATGCAAGCGCATACACGGGTCACTCTTTACAACGAACTTCAGCAACACTTTTAATTGATGGAGGCGGAAATCTAGAATGCCTCAAACGACATGGGGGCTGGAAATCAAGTACGGTTGCCGAAGGATATATAGAGGATTCAATAAGAAATAAAAACAATAATGCTCAAAAAATTTTAAACCCTCATGATTCGCCAACATCGGGAATGATTGCTGAAAGTTGTTCTCGACCATCAGTATCGTCAACAATTACCAATGCGTATCAAGAGTCGTGAACATTTTTGCACGGTTTCAATTTTGAAAATGTCTCATTAACTAATTGTACTTTTAATATTACTATAAATAAAAATGATGTTTAATTGTTGTTAATGACATTTGTATTGTTGCTTTGTGACATGTTTCATATTGTTGCCATGACAACATTTTTGCCTCCGCCGCGCCGCGCCGTAAAGAAATGGGAAAAAAACTGCTGCCGGCGGAGACATCAAACTTTGACAGAATCAAGTTAGATAAGTAATGTCATCATTATTTGACGTTTGAAGAAAAAAGGATTTTTTTTAATGATTGTGTAGTCTAAACAGATGAAATTATAAACAGCTTTGATGCGACTAGGAATATGAAGTGATCCTAGAATTTTAATGTATCATACTTACTGTATTGAATATGATCTACCGTTTGCTATCGTTTTGGTCTTCTTATGTTTATTGAGGAGATACCAACTAATTCCTCCAACGATGAGTGCTAGTAAAACAATGTCTAGGGTGCCGAAGAGACTCTCGCTTGCCCCTTGTATCTGTTGGGTACCAATGTTGGCTTCTGCTTCGCTCATGATTGTGCCCTGTAACAAAACGAACAGAAATTAGACAATAAAAATTGCTCTGAAATGATTAATAATGTTGTAAGTATTAATAATGAACACAGAAAAATTTGATAAATAAAAGTATGCTTTGATATACACTCAATGAACTATAGTGACTAAGATAAGAAGATAATGGAATTAGACATGCATACGATGATTCCAACGAAATTTATTTAATTCTATGAACTAAATGAATCATTTAAAATATATTCAAATACCTTAGAAATCATGTACGAATAACAATGATAATAAAAAAAATTCGCAAACAAAAGATAATGATTCAAAATAAGAGATTTTCCAAACAAGTTTTTTCAAAAGGTTCAAATAAAAATATAAAAAAGCAGGACGTTGGATATATATATATATATATATATATATATATATATATATATATATATATATATATATTTCTATCATTCCATCGTTCTTCGGTCAAGTCTCGGGAGCTCATTGCCTTTGTTATTCCCTCCTTCCATGTTCTTTTTGGTGTTCCTCGTTTCTTACGATTTGGTGGTATCCATTTCATGGCGATTTTTGGTAGTCTTGTTTCTGGCATTCTTTGAACATGGCCATACCATATAAGTTGTTTCCTTTCTATGTCTGTTGCCAGTGATCCATCTACCCCTATCCGATTCCTTATTTCATCGTTTCTAATTCTGTCTGCCCTAGATATTCGAAGTGATCGTCTTAATACATCCATTTCTGTTGCTTCGAGTTTTCTTTTATTGCTTTCTGTTAGTCTCCATGTCTCTGTACCATAGGTTAAGCTGGTTTTTATGAGAGATTCATATATATTGTATTTTCGTCTTTTACCAATTTCTGAGCTCCAAGGAACTCCGTTAAGGCATCCAATTGTTCTACGGGCCTGGGTTATTCGTTTTCTAATTTCCCTATTGTCTGTGCCTCTGTGGTGTCGAAATCAATTGCTAGGTAGGTATATTCAGTGCAGAATAGTTCTGCTCCTATTGGGAGATATTTTGTTTTTTGTGTATTGAGTTCTAAACCCCACTTTTTGTATTCTTCCTGTAGTTTTCTGGCCATATATGTCAGGTCTTCTTTATCGTTGGCTATAAGGACTTGATCGTCTGCAAACTGTAGGGTATATAGGCAAGTTTCTCCCAGGTCAATGCCCATTCCTCTGCACTTTCTCTTCCACTGATACAGTGCTTTCGCCACGTAGATTTTAAACAATGTGGGGGATATGCAACACCCCTGCCGGAGTCCCTTGTTTACAGGAAATTTTTTTGAAAGTCTATTTCCAATTTTTATTCCCGACATTGATCCTTCATAAAGCTGTTTAAGGGCGTTAATTACTATGTGGTTAATGTTTGTTTCCTGCAAAACTTTCCATAGCTTTTTCGCGGGTACAGTATCATAGGCCTTCTGAAGGTCTATACAACATAAGATGGGTTTCTTGGTTGGTACTTGATCTTTTTTCTATTATTTGTTTCAATACAAACACATTATCGGTGCAGCTCCTTCCCGCTCTAAAGCCAGATTGTTCCTCTTCTTCTTGTTCATGGTTCTTACTTGGACATTGGATATGCAAGCTTGAAAAAAGTTAGGAATTCCGGAACTGGATACATTCGTCGCAAATGCGATGAAGGTGATCTAAACAATAAAAATTTTGGCATATTTTTAAACAATTGATCGCACGTTTGTTTAGTTTTCCCGTCAGATTTTCTGGAACACTTTTGACACCGTCCATGTCCCATACGTTGCTTTTTCGGTGAAACTTGGTCACTTTCTCCCAAAACATTTTATCCAACAAAACAGGAGCCAACTTATCAGACTGTTGCCTATCTTGTCGATTGTCTACATTATACAAACGTAAGCAGTGCAATAAAAATGTAAAAAATCTATTGAGTGCCATCACTGAACGAAATATATCGATTCCTGTACCATTTATTCGCCAAAGGTCTTTTAGATTGCGATGACCATTTCTGTATACACCCCTAGGTAGATGAGGCCAAATAATGCCTTTATTTCAACAATATTGGTTCTGCTACAATATACTTTGTCTTTGTAGGCTAACGCTTTTTTATCTATCAATACATTGGTGCAGACCGTGATACCCTCGAGCATTTTTTCATCAAAAAAAAGCCAGCAATCTAAAAGAGTCTTAGCATTTTTAGCATATGGTTTGCATCCTGGTAAGTTCGAAATTATGTTCTCTGCCCTCGTTCTAACTGCTTTATTACTATGGTGCTTTTCTCCATTTTGTTTTGGAATCCCTACCTAAATATTAAGGATATTTTTTATCTTCTTTTCGCTTATTTTGAGATTCCAATACTTCTAGTTCCTCCATTTCTTTATTTCTTTCACCATCAGACTGATTATTTATGTGAGCAATTTCGTTTTCATCGTCGGAGTCCATAATTTCGTACTCATCATATTCTAGTTCCTACCAAAGAGCCAATAGTTTAGTTTGTTCTTTTTCGTAATTCATTCTAGAGAAAAAAGTTTATATACAACAAATAACGCCCCATTTTAAAATTGTCTTAGATACCTTGCGAATTAAAATTGTGTTTTCGTCACCCAGGTGGGGTCTAATTGGGCCCTATTCTAACTGAGATTTCGACTCAAAACATGTCGAAATTAATATGGCGACATCGAAATACAACTTTGCGAGCCTAGTGGATTTCAGCTGAACTAACGAAAGGACGTCACTAATTTTCGATTTATGTTTTGATTTGTTTGATTCTTGCAAGGAAAACTGAGACAAAACGTATCAATATGGCTGCGTTTTATGGACTTTGCTGGTTTTGGGAGCAATTAGAGAGGATGGATATCCGACGCTCACTTCTTCTTCTCGTGCCACTCCTAGCGGAGATTGGAAATCATCATGGCCACTGCGACTTTGTTAGCAGCGCGCCTAAAAAGTTCAATCGAACTACACCCGAACCATTCACGTAGATTACGAAGCCACGATATTTTTCTTCTTCCCACACTTCTTTTGCCTTAATTTTGCCCTGCATGATGTTTCTTAAAAGTTCGTACTTTTCACCTCTCACAATGTGCCCCAAGTATTCCATCTTTCTAGTTTTTATCTCATTTAGAATTTCGCATCTTTTGTCTAAAGTTTGGAGTACTTGCGTGTTAGTGACGCGGTCCATCCATGATATTCTGAGAATGCGCCTATAGCACCACATCTCGAAAGCTTCGATGTTTTTTATGGTCAACTGTTTTAGTGTCCAAGCCTCAACTCCATATAACAGGGTAGAAAAGACATAACACCGCAGCATTCGTATTCGTAACTTTATATTGATATCACGATTGCAAAAGAGTTTGCGCATTCTATTAAAGACTGATCTAGCGATTTCTATTCTACATCTAATCTCTTTTGTTTGATCAGTATCGTCTGTGATCCAAGCACCTAGATATTTATAACAGGGCACACGCTCAATCGCTATATTGTCTATTACAAGATTAGCTCTGATGTTCTTTGATTTCGTGATTACCATAAATTTAGTTTTTTTTCAAATTAATTTTCAAGCCGTAACTGTTACAGTATATATTGAGACTTTGAACGAGATGTTGTAGTTCTACTAGCGTTCCCGTTAGGAGAACTGTATCGTCAGCATACCTTATATTGTTGATCGTCTCACCATTTATTATCAGACCAAGATCTTCTTCCTCGAGTGCTTGTTCACAGATAGCTTCACTATACAGATTAAATAAAAGTGGCGATAAGATACATCCCTGCCGGACTCCTCGACGGATTTGAATTTCTTCTTAGTCTGCCCTCAACCTTGACATTTGCTGTTTGATTCCAATATAGATTGCATATAATTCGAATATCTCGGCTGTCTATATTTTTCTTTATTAGAACTTGTCTTAGTGGCTCATGTTGTACTTTGTCAAAGGCCTTTTCGAAATCAATAAAGCAGGCGTAAATTTCTTGGTTCATGTCTAAGCATCTCTGTGAGAGAAGTCACAAACAGAGCCTCCCTTGTACCCAGCCCTTTTCTGAATCCCATCTGAGTGTTACTAATGTCTACGTCTAATTTCCTATAGATCCTAGACTCTCACAACGGAGGATAAAAAGAATGTTACGGGATACTCAAAATCCTTTTTAATTAAGTGATGCTCAATTTAGGCAGCAAATCCGCCTTAATAAACAAGCTGCAAATTATTTGATAAGGATATTAGAACCATATTTGGAGGAGGTTTTTTGTGCCTCTAGGAGAGCCAAAAAGCATTACTAAGCTGCAGTAAATTTAAAAATATTTTAGAATATAACCACTAAGTCAAAAGCCACCATAATTTCTTTTTGGTCCACAGACAATTTAGTGCCACCACCACCGACAGCCTCTCCATCCATTTTCTTTCAATTCAAAATATAATAATTGAGAATGGTCACTAAAATTTAACAACTCAAACTAGAAACAAAAGGCGTAACGTAAACAAAACAAACATTTAACAAGCGTTGTGCAGCCAACCTAATTCTGAGCAATGTCAAAATGATAAAGTAAATATCCCCACTTTTAACTAAAATCGAAATCAATGAGAATCGCTAGCGATTGCGACTGTCATGGCGTAGTGGCTTTTAAATTTCGATATCAAAATGAAATAGAATCAGGGCCCGGATTGCAGAACACTGTACTCACTTTGACGATCAACTTAAAACTGAAATTGGTTCAGAATACCGAACGGCAGCATGTTTTAGGAAGCTATAGACAACAAATAAAACATCCGTTTATTAACCATAGAAATATGCTAGTTCTAAGTGTGTTGGGGGTACCATTAGACCCCACCTGGGTTCGTACAAAATAAAATAATTTCAATTTGAGAATCAATCTCATTTTAAATCAACAAGGACATTATTTATGATCTAACTACACATTTCTAGCATTTAATTTACACATTAACACAAATAATACGTGAGAGATGCAAATCTTTTTGTTTTTTTTTTATTGATTTAAATATTCTTAAATTTAAATTAGAAATTTTAAAAATAATAAAGATCTTGTTTGATAAAATTTTTATCAAATTTGAATATTGCTTAGTG